GACAGGTAGACCGTACAGCGTTCGCACCACTGACTTCTATTCCGGGCCATATCTCTCGGTGTCTCTAACCAACGACAATCTTCATCCCTTGGGCCCCAGCCTGGAAGGCGGGCTGCACCAACCGAAGCCAACTTCTCCATACCTCTAGCCCATGTCATGGTCTGACCGCCGCGTCGCTTCTTCCAGCCATGCCCGACACGTCCAGGCACTAAGCAGAACGATTAGGGTTCTCATCAAAGGCCTTTAGTCTTAACACGAACCTGATCGCAAGGTGGAGTGCAGGTCCCATTACTTGGATCGATAACTCCTACCTACTAACTGCTGCACCAACTCGAGTAGAATCCTCAACCTGGAGGACCAGTAAACTGAACTTTGTCTGCCTTCTACTCTCTGATCTTCCAGGCATGATAAGATCTCCTGGCTTGATAAGAGCCATTCTGTGTAGCTCGCTGGTACATAGAGCTGCATAAGCCATCGCAGCACACTGAAGTGCAGTCTTTTCCATCCAAATGGATAGCCAACAAAGAGCAAACAAAACCACCGCATGAAAGTGCAAGATTAGTAGTTGTGCAAAGTGAAATTGAAACATGGAGAGTCACACATCTTTCCTCGAGGTACCTCATAAATTCTCAGTCGTGTCTGAAACCAAAGATAACAGAGGAAATGGTATGTTTTTGACTGTTCCGACCCTTGTATCGTGAACTTTTAGTTTTCTCGATAATCGCACAATTTTTCCGGAGTAATAAATCACTGTGCATAGATCTATGTGTTACGTGGTGCGGTCCCAAGTCGCGGACAGGAGCACTAAATTGGTTCCTAGCTGTGAATAAGGCGGGCTCAAACTCATCAAAAATGACCGCGGACGAGCAGCAATGGCACCTAGATTTCTCGTAGTTAGCATATTCACATCAAACGGAACAAAGGTCTGACGAAGTTGCTGTTATGTAGTGGATGTGATCTGTCATTATCAAAGTTACGTCTTCTTGTTTCATTTCATCTAATTAAAAAACTTTCCGGGGGCAGATAAATCAGATTACTAGGTACCGGTTTGCCTGGAATCCCCTGATACTTTGCAGGTTACGCATAAATGTGCAGCCGCAAACAAATCCCGAGTGATGCTGAGAGCACTGCTTGGAATTCTTTCCTGAGAATCTCGATGGAACATCTTCCCTCGAGTTGATTTATCCACCAGTACGATATCATCCTGTAGATGTAGAAGCAATTCATTCTGAGATCATTCCTGCGAGTATCGGCATCCTTTAAGTAATCTTACCTATCCTTCTTTTCACTATCAGATACCCGCTTTTGTAAACTTCTAACATCGTTTACAGACTTTCTGAAGACACTAGCATACGCTGTCCAACGTCTTAGCGTGCGGTCACTACTCGTACTAACTGCAACCGTTGTGTCCTCACAATCATGGTTACTCCCGGGCATCCAATAAATATTTTCGTTTAATGCTTTCAAGATTGACGCCTATTGTTCAGGTATCAAGTATTCTTTAACCATCATTTTATTTCGACCACTTTATTGTTCCATAAACTCTTGCTTATTCTCAGCCCCTTCTGTTCATTTCGAAATCCAAAAGTAACGAAGTAACGAAATGAACTTGTTGTATATAATTCCTCCACTTACACTCGAAGGTTGGTTTCGTTTCGTATGGGAGAAGTTGATGCTTGATAGTAACAATCCGTGATCCGTTCAAAGTTGAAGTAGGCGATCTACGAACGTTCAGCTTTGGCACTTAGCGCAATCCCAATACCAGCGACACCGCGAGCGTTAGATGCCGAATCGTTTAACACAAGAAGGGTGACGCGCGAAGATGAAGTTGGGTCAGGAGAACACAGGGAGAAGATTAAAGTAGGACCTTGTATGAATGTTTTGGAGATACAATATACGTCTAAACTGAATGTTCCAAGATTCCTAGCTAAGACAGCTTGTTGACCGGTCTGGTAGAGTGTGCGGACGTTGGGCGCGGCTAAGTGACGAGGATTTTGGCTTCTAGAATCCTCTGCTTTGGTCTCGTTGCTAAAACGCTGATTGACATTAAATGGGTGGCATAAATAGGAGGCGTCTCCTAAGATTTGGGAGTGAGAGGAAGAACTGGATGGTTGAGAAAGAGTAGTTCCAAAGAGGCACGTAAGACTCAGGCACGACATACTTCGACCACACCGATGAGGGGTTTTACCGGGAACCATAACCGGAGCCTTTGACTCGAAAATTTGACCCACAGGGTTGTGGGTCGTAGATCCAGCGCGGGATCGTGACCGAAGAACCCGTGTGGGAACTCCTAAGAACCTGTCATGCAAATCTGTTCTCCTGCGTCATTTGCTTCCATTATAACCAGCAGAAAAGGCAAACGCTACAGTCACGAGGACCTAAGCTTCATCCAACATAACTGGCGATATAAAACTTGGCACTATGCATGGTGCAGCACACGAGGTCCCACTACGATAGACCAGGCATTGAGCCAAACAAAAGCAGAACTACCTGCTATAAGATTTTATCAATTTTGGGTTCTTATGTACTGGTTTTCCTACATTTGTTTTCGTTTCATCGGTCGCTTATTCAGACTGAAACAGACAGCAATTTGAGCTAGTTTAATGGACATGACTGAATATTTTCGAACTTAAGGGATTTGACAGATAACAGAAAACTAAGGTGACTTTCATGGTACCAAAATCCACGTAGCATAAAATTATCTCCATTAAGTGACGAGCTTATCACTTTGACTATTGAGATCAAACTCTTATATTTTCGCAACAGTAGTTATAATATATATCACTGATTTGCGAACAAGCATGGTACCAACCCAACAACAACAAGGACGGGGCATTGGGTCATAAAAGATGAGGTGAACACAGAAACATGGATAAAATTACAATTGTAATTAGAAATTTTGTGGAATTCTACAATGCTTACTCCTCAATATTGCGTTTGAAAGTCTAAGTCAGGCACATATTCACAGACACTACTCTCAGAAGATCACAAAAGTGAAATCAAAACCAATAAACAGGGAAATTCCGAAATCACATCATGATGTGTGTTGGCAAAACGTTGGGAAGAACTTACCAAACAAAGCTGGCAACCCACGACATATCTAATAAACCGGACTACATAACCTAGAGTACATTTATGCAACTTAAACACATCGACGAGACGAGGAGAAAGTGCCGGAAAACAAGCATATATGCATAAAATTATATACCGATATGAACTTTATTAGTTCAAACTTAAAGTAGCTGGATTTTTACTATCTTTCAAAGTCATTAATGCCGAAAAAGATGCACAAAGATCACAATTATTCTTTTGTAATTTGTAAAATATTATCATCCTACAATTAAATAAAGTTCAGCGAACCTCACAAATTGCTAACAATTGACTGTGAAAATAGGTTACGACGCACAAGACGGGTAGAAACTGGTGCCAGATGCCAGATAACTTACCAGGGGATTTTCGTCCAACAAACCCGGTTTAACAACCATTTGGCAGACCTCTGAAATATTGAAATCAGCACTGGGTAGTGTCAACAAAAGAGTAGTGACGAGATCAATCGCCTCTTGAACCAATCTGCTGTTTTGAGAAACGTTTGCCGATTTCAGTAACCTGATATTCTTTTCTGATTGTTCTAAATGATCTGCAGCGCTTGATGCTACAAGACCACAAAAGTGACGAATAATGAGCATTGGTGCACCCGGTAGACGTGCAAGCAGTAATGCAAGTTTTGTTGCAGCAACCCGGACAACCAACTTTCCATCGCTGAATCCGTTGAACAGCAAACATAGAAAACTCGTTACTAACCAGGCAAAATGCGATTCGTTCGTATGCAATTGGTCGCAGAGGCCACCTTTTAGCTCACAGGATTTGCCGAAAGAATACAAAGGATTAAGCAGAACAGCCGCTACATCTAAGCTGCATAGGACGACATTAAAATTTAGATCGGCGGAAAACATTTTGATAATTCCTAGTAGGCCGAGAAACGTTCGGTTCTCTGTCAGCCGTTTGATCTCGGACACCCAAGAGGTCGAATCACAACAGGAGGACCATCCGAAAATTTGTTTCCAACCTGAGGTAGTGGAAAGATTTCTCGCTACGTTTTCCTTTAGCTCCTCTGCCAAAAACAGTAAATTCAATTGCGGCTGAGCAACGCCTTGTGAATCACGATGCACAACTGCCATCAGTATCTCGAAGGAAGCACGACATAAAAACAAGCTGATATCTTCAAAGCGAAGTAATTTGATATCGATTTTTCCGTTCGACATTGAAGTAAACCGCTTGGTTTGAGGATGCGAGATGTTTGAGTAGGTTATGTTTGACACTCGCCTATCAATGGGCTGTTCGTTGTTCGTAGTACGAAATATTCCAGATGTTAATCGTCGAGCTAACTGAATGTTTGCGGATGGTAAACGGCCACAGTTATGTGAATCCAACCAAATGCTCTCTATATTATTGTAAGTATCACTTCCGAGCATTTCGGCAAGCGATATAAAGGCATACTTGAAAGAAGACTTGCTTCCATTTGTTTTGATGAATAGGTCAAGTAAACAGCGAAGTAATGGTTCAAAGCCAACACAGCAATCTGTAGTTCCGAGACTTTCTATGAGGCTTTTGGAGAAAATATGAGGTAAAGCCGTACACACGGCTGTTTGAACACAAAAAGAAGCCGTTGTCAGGCCATAACACATCAAAAGAGTAACGAGGTCCCTCAAGCATAAGTCCCCAACAAGATTGGATGAAATTATCAATGCGAACAACCTTAGACACTGTGATGCTACACGCCTGAGAGTAATATCCTCCGTCGACAAAATGTTTATCAACCCCCGTGTAATATCCTTAAATCGCGCTTTGATACAGCAGCATGGAAGAGCACTCGACGAACTGCGGTTCCAAATATTTTGCAACGTAGTTTCCAATCTGTTTGCGCCAAGTAACCTGATTTCAGAATCAATAAAGCATACATCTATGAAGTAAGAGAAAGCGCAAGCATTTTCATCACAAAAAAGGGCTTTCGGTCCTGAGTTGACTGATGTATCCCCGCTGGATGTTTCAGCCGACTGCCTTTCAACAGACGTCATGAAGGCGGCCCCCACCGACCACTTTATCGATAATTTACAACTCACGTCAATCAGTTGCTGCAGTTAGCCTAATTCGGGTGATCCACCGGATACATTTCTTGTGAAAAGGAAAATGAAGAAACTCGATATTATCCATACGCGGTCACGTGCACATATGAACAGAGAAGAAAAAAAGATCACAATTTTTGTAGCTGAGATATATAACAGAACCTAGTCCATCATTTTGGTTTTTCTAACCGAGGCACATCTCACGTGATGTTTACAGTGGATACTGAATTGAAACAGGGACAAAAGACCGTTCACTAATAATCTGTGCGACTAAACAAAAGATCGAGGTCAGATTCAGGTTCGGGTTCAGAGGATCCAGGACTTGGCGGCGAGATGCCAAATTTTCTATTTTCTTGCTCTGATGGCTCTTGGATCGCCAAGTGCTTCTACTTGACGACGTTAATCTCTGCAGGGAATTGTAGCTTCTCTATTATCTTGCTCAGTTAAAGCTTTGTCACAGACCTGCACGCATAAAAAGCTCAAAAAATAAGTTACTAGGGCGGTGTGAAAAGGAACCTCCCTAATTACTCTACTAATTACTTTCCCGTGCTGATGAACAGTTGTCAATCCATTTAGGTGGAGGGGATTACACTGCAGGGATTGTAAAAACCAGCAGAGACTTAGGAATATCGGTGGCGCCAGATTTCCGCTGGGAAAACCAGTGTGTACTGGCTGCAGTGAGGGCGAGGAGAGAGCTGTTCAGGCTCAAGTCAGTACTATCGTGTAGGAAGCCCGACGTATTCCTACCCCTGTACAAAGCCATAGTTAGGCCGCACCTGGAGTACTGCGTGCAGGCTTGGACACCCTTCCTCAAAAAGGATGCAGCCTGTTTAGAAAAAGTTCGAAGACTAACCACTCGAAGGATTGAAGGCTAAAAGGGTAAGTCATACCAAGACAGGCTAAAAGATTTGGGACTCTTCTCGCTAGAAAGGAGGAGACCAAGAGGAGACATACTGGGGACCTTCAAGATGATAAAAGGGCTCTCGGGAGTAAGGAAAGAGAGCATGTTCCAGAAGGCTATCCACCAAGGAACCAGAGAGAATGGGTATAAACTACATAAGCAGCATTGCAACCAGTTGTTAGATTCAGCTTCTTCAGCAACAGAATAGTGAACAGTTGGAACCGGTTGCCAAAGGAATTAGTAGATTTAGGAAGTATGACTGCATTTAAGCACGCCCGGGATGAGCGATGGTTAGAGCTCTTTCCAGAGTAGGATCTTTATTGTCATATGAAGCGCCTCCATGAACCATGTCCTTGTTCGCCGATAAGGTGAAAGGAGACGAGCTTTTTCTTTTCCCTTTCAGCAAGGACGCCGTACTGAATGCAATTCGCAGTGGTGGGTGCACATTTTGTGAGCATACTGCCGGAAGAAATTTGGACGCTTGATTGACCGTGGCCATCATCAGTCCTGTGCAACTTGACCTGACCTGACCTGACTTAATTCAATCACCGTGAAACAACTTCTCCGTTATGATCATCACACCTCGCTTTCGATGAATGTGCGTGTGGGTGCTGTCTTTGAAAAAGTGAAGCAGTTGTCTAATTGTTCGGATGATTTGAGGAAATTTGGAACAAATAGATGTATGCAGCCTATCGAGGTTTCGCTACTTTCCCCGTTTTTTAAAAGAAAATGGATGTTGAAAATGGGTCTGTCACAGCTGGGTACGAGCCAGTAAAAAACTGACCGGGGCTGTCAGAAAAAGGTCTTCGATAACCGAAATATGCTAGTTCGGTAGGTTGGTTGGGGGTGGGGGAGGGGCAAATTGAAGTCCTCTTGTTCAGTTCAGGTCAGGCCGGGTCACATTACTTGCGGCTGATGCCAATTTGAGTCCAGGTCAGGTCAGGTTTTGTGGTGATAGTGTAACGAGTACACACGCACCGCGGTACAGTTTCCAGGTAACCAATCAAGAAGCGGGATACCGACCTAACCCTTGTTCTCAATATGGCATCATCCGGATTGGCTAAGTGCATATCCTTGTCGATTGGACATTCAAGAATCGACCAATGATTCTTTGTTGCTTGTAATATATATTTCCATGATTTTCTGAATAGAATTAACTGTATCCACAGCTCGTCTTAGTTCTACATGACTTTGCGCTATTCAGTGGGTTTTCAGTCCGATACCGAGTTCGCGCTAATCGATTTCGATTCCTATTCCGTCCAGGTCAGTTCAGGTCAGGTCAGGTCAGGTTTCTAGGACGAAAACAGGCTTTCATCTAACGTGCGTCCAGATTCATACACCAGTAGGATTTGGGACTTCCTCTGGTGCTACGACATGATTATTGTTTTCGTGGGTTGTCATGATTTGTTAACCTTCTCTAGATTCGGACAGCTACCCCAGCGAGCAACATT